AGAGAGAGAGAGAGAGAGAGAGAGAGAGAGAGAGAGAGCCTAGCATGGGCTTTTGAAACCTCAAAGTCCACCCCCAGTGACACACTTCCTCCAACAAGGCCACACCTCCTCATCCTTCTAATCCTTTCAAACAGTTCCACTTTCTGGTGATTAAGCATTCAAATGTGGGAGCCTGTTGGGGTCATTCTTATTCAAACCAGCACATTTCACAGCATTTAGCCCTGCAGCCTCTACTCAAATCGTTTCCATCAGTCTCTGACTGAAGGTGGGTTTCAGGTTAAAGCCTTGATGAGGATGCTGACGGTGCCCATCCCACAGACCAATAGACTTTCAGATTCATATAAATCCACAGTTTGAGTCTGTTCAGAAAGTACCAGCTTAAAATACAGAAGGGGAAGAATAAAGTAAAATGGGAAAAGTTAAAGCTGTTTCAGAAGAAGTAAGAAAAAAACAGGAAAGCACACCCTCTGGGACTCATCAGTTGCTGACCCGGGGTCCCATGTCAGCAAGTACCAGACAGTGTCACAGCTCAAGCTGCTTTGGGTCAAATTCGAGCAGGGGCAGAGTGAATAAAAACATAGTCCCTGTGGGTGTGAAAGACGTGCCCCCTCTGCTCTGGGGGGCAGCAGGAAGTGTGTTCTAAGGAGTCATGATGGCCACTCCTCCGAGTCACCTTCACAAAGAAAAGCCAGTGTTTACCTGGTCACCTGGACACACTGGAGCACTCTAAACCTTCTGGCTTTTGTTATAGAATTAGGGTATCCTCTTTGTCTTTGGGCTCTGCACCTGGATGCATGGTAGACCCCTCATAACAAAGTCCAGGCTGAGTGGCCAGCACTAGGAGACCTCAGGTTGGTCCCAAGTTCTGACATTAGTTATTTGATAATCCTGGATGGGTCACTTAATATTTCTGACCCTCCACATTTTTATCTGAAAAATAGAGATAATTTGAGGTCTTCCCTCTTTTTTTTTTCAGAATAGTTAGGAGGAGCTCTTTAGAAAACACATTAATGCATTAGTACCATGCCTCACGTGGAGTCGGCACTTAACAAATGGAGACGATTACTATTATAGTATTATTTGAAAACATGGGGATAACAGTGCACACTCTAACACAGTTGTGAGTTTAAACAAGATGGGAAATATGTGTTTGCAAAGTTTAAATCCTGCCCCATTAGCCCAGTGTCGTAGATTCTTGGGATAGTAGAGGAAAGACAACTGTGGAGCCTAGCTTCTGGAATTCAGTCCCAGCTCCACTTTACTGTGTGATCTTGAGTCCCTCCCCGCTTTTTCTTTACTTTTCTTTTTTTATTATTATTTTATGTGTTATGGATGTTTTGCCTGCATGTATGTCTATGCAACAAGGGCATGCAGTGCCCACAGAGGCCAGAAGAAGGTGTTGGATCCTCTGGAACTGGACTTGCAAACAGTTGTTAGCAACCGTGTGGGTGCTGGGAATGGAACCCAGGTGATCTACAAGAGCAGAAAGTCCTCTTAATCACTGAACCATCTCTCCAGCACCTCTGAGTCTATCTCTTGATCGAGCTGTGTCTCCTGGTAGCTGCTTTGTGAAGTTACTGTGAGGGTTCAGTGAGAAAGCACCTTAGGAACAGGGCTGGACCCTGGCTAAGAGCTCAACAAGAGCTTGCTTGCTGAGGCTCCCGTGTACTGAGCGGCAGTGAGAGGCAGAACAAAAGCAAAAACAGGAAGGAAAAATGTGAGATAATGAGGGGCTAAGGCATTTTCCTCCATGTCCTGATGGGACCCATTGAGAGTCACTGAGCAAGAGCAAAGCCATCCGGGTCGTTGGCTCAGGGAATGAGTCCGTTAGCACTGTGAAGAGCAGAGAGGTGTGGGGACCAAGAGGAGGCAGCCTCTGCATGGTCTAGACCACAGACCTGTCCCCCTTCAGAACTAGAGTCACCGTATGTGCAGGTGGAGACAGCAAGGAGGGACCACTGAGGGACCTGGCCATTCCTGAAGGATATGGCAGGAAGGCTGTGTGATCCTTGATACTTGCCACTAGGAAACAGTAGCAGGCATATGAGGCTGTCCCTGAGGTGGCCCTGAAGAGACCAGCCACCTTATGTTGTGTTTAAAGGTTACCCTCAGCCAACACTATTCACAGTGTGTTGTGTGTGATCAGGTTTCCCACACCCTCAGCTTCCGAATGCATCCTTTCTTCAGGACCATATATGATACTGAATTGAAGAAAATAAGATCCCAAACCGGGTTGGTAGAATAGGCTCTTTATAACTTCCTCATCAGAAGGGACGATGGGGTTTCCTGCTGCAGGCACATTTACAGCCAGAGGAACTTCTTGTATTTCATTTTTTCAGGGCTCTGAAATGTTTTCACTACTAGATTGGGTAGTAAACCCTGTTAGGACAAATTCTATTACCGAGAAGTGTTCAGTCCTAATAGAGAGATTTCCATGTCAGCAGTCGGCCTGTGGAGTGGGACTCTATTAGAGGGGTGGGAGGCAAACTCTGCCCCGTGGTCCCTCCTCCCCTCTCTGGCTCCAATGTGACCTTCCATGGAGAGGAGTGTGTGTGTGGTGATACAGGTGAGGGAGGGAGGCTCAGGAACAGGGGCTAAAGAGAGGATGAATGGATGCTGAGCAGGCAGGAAAGCAGGGTAGAGGCATGGCGCTTCAGAGTTCCAATCGCTTGTGTTAGCTCTGGAGAGCCGATCAAAACCCCGTTGTACAAGATGGTGTTTCCAGACTACAGGTGTTGTGTTCTTATGGGCCATCTGATTGATCCAGCAGGCAACAACCTCCAGCTTCAAAAAAAAAAAAAAGAAAAGAAAAGCAGACTAGAATAGAAAACATCAAAGTACATCACAGGCAGAGTGAAAATTGGTCAGTAAAACACCTTTCAAGGCTGGGGAAATGGCTCAGCGGTAAAATGCTTGCTGGGCGAGCATGGAGCCTGAGTTTGGATCCCTAGCACCTACCTAAAGTTGTGCACACTGGCAGCAAGTGTCTGTCTCCAGCACTGGTGTGGTAGAGAGCAGATCCCTCAAGTTCACTAGTCAGGCCAGCCTGGCAGCCAGCTCTGCGTTCAGGGAGAGAGACCCAGCCTCAAAAATCAAGATAGAAAGTGATGACTGAGCAACACACTTAACCACTGACTTCTGCCCCCCATGCACAGATACACATGTGCACACACACACATAAATGCACACTCACATAATCACATGAACTTGTGCATACACACACACAAAAAAAAAAACTGTAAATAGGAATAAAAGAGTTCTTCCAGTTTTCCGTATGTGGAGATTTCTATACCAGTCATGAAGAAAAATGTTCTACTGTGTCTAGGTTGGCCCGCCTTTGGGAGTTTCCTGCCATCGTCACCCACATTTTGATTTTAGGAACCCTGAGATTCACTGAGGCAAAGGTACCCAACTTGTAAAGTTCAAGTCCAGGACCAGGGCCTGGTTTCTAGGCTGGCCCTCATTCCTCCAGCTGCTTTTGCTGTTAGGTTTCTTTCAGGGTGGGGATGGGATTGTTGTGCCCACATCGCGAGACCCCCGAGCAAGACCACCACAGAGCTGATGTCTGATGCAAAACTCACAGGGGTTTGTTCATAACAAGCAAACCCGGGCTTGGTCCGTGTCCAACACTCGGATGCAGCGGGTAGGGGAGGACGGCCCTGAGCTCTCGGGGTGGGGGGTTTTTAAAGGGAAAAACTGCGAGCAGGGTGGTACAAGCCTTTGCGTCATATGATTGGGTGAGGGTGTGTAACCTTTGAACTTACTGGTTGGGGGGTTCAGTTAGCATTTTGGGGCAGGCCTGAACAAGTCCCAGGCTTTGTCCTTGAGCTGCCATGGGGGCTGGCTGGCCTCACACATTCACATTGACCCATGCACGTAGTCCTAAGTTGGTGAGGGGTCCCAGACAGTAAACAACTGGCTGAACCTTGAGCAGTCAGAGCACGTGCAGAAAGGGCTACTGCAAGGCCTATGTCTTTTGTTCATGGCCCTACCAGAACCTGCTTGCTCAAGTCTCAGGAAACTGAAGTTGAGGCTTGATCTCTGAGAGAAGACTGACAGCCTGTTATGGCGTCTGCTGGGTCCTTTCAGGGTGGGCATGGGATGAGGTGGGGGTGGGGGTGTGGCTTCACAGCCAAAGCTACCTGCTCTGGAACTGGTCTCAGTCACTCAATCAGGTGGCCTGTGCTCACCCATCAAAGCTGTTGTAAAGATACTGAACCACACGAAAGCTTGGCGTCTCTGTCCTGTGCCTGAGGGACAGCTCTGCCATCTGGCTGGTCTGACTGTTCCATTGCAAAGAGGTTAAGTAGGGTACTAGTAGTTAATCTCCTGCTGCAGAGGAAACCTAGTCCTTTCCCTCCATCCCCGAGAGGCTACGTGCATGAGGTCCAGGGGCTCCCGTAGTGTCCCATAAAGTAGACAAGCTGACACCAAGAGAGCCCAGTGGTTCAGATGGCCAATGGGGGGAGGGGGGGCTTGAGTCCACACCTCCTCCCAGTGTGAGACATATTTGCTATCATAGGGGTCCCGGGGAAGTCAGGCTGCCCTCTCCTGGGTCACTGGTACTCCCGAGAGCCAATCACTTTCACCCTCTGTTTAGGTGAGGGGCGTGGTCACGTAGCCCGGAAGGGACAGTTAGGAAGAGTGAGTGGCAAGCACCCAGGTCCCCGTGGACCCGAGGTCGTCTCATTTCCTCTGAGCTCATTTATCCTTACCCTTTGGTCTGCCAGGTGCTTTGAACCCCGGAGCGGGAATAACCGGCACCTCCCTTTTTCAGAACAGATAATACAAAACAGAACAGGGTGTAGATGTTTGCTTTCTTGCATTCACTCTACAAATATTTGGTGCTTGCTGTGCTCTGGCCATCCCAGAACCCTCCCAAGGATACTGAGTCGTGATTTACCTGAGGCGGAAACACAATGAGCCCCTGGGTGCTGGCTTCCGGTTTCACCGGCCACCCAGCAAGTGTTTGTTGAATTTGCCCAGCAGGTGCGAGGAGGGGGAAGGGCCGGAGGGCATTTCTGGGCCCGCGTGCCAGGCCCCTCTTCGGGCACGGAGATGGATTATGTGTTCGCTCTAGAAGGAGAGCTAGGACTCCAGAGAGCAGGCACGGAGGAGGATGGGCGTCGCCAGCCATACTTCTGGTTTCTGCAGGTGCTGAGGGATTAGCCGCGGGGTAGGTGGGCCCCGAAGGCCCTCTGCTTAACTCATTCAAATGGCAGGAAGGACAAAACCAAGGCTTGGGAAAGCAGAAAGGAGCCCCACCTGGCCCTCTGCAGCTTGAGGCAGGCCTGAGTGTTCTCAGGCCCCCTGTGGGGGCCATCAGGGAAAAATCCACTCAGAACTGCAGCTTCTAAGCCCAGACTCGGCCAACCCCACAGTGTGGTAAGAGGGGCCGTTTGGGGTTCTCTGTATGTCCACACATGAGAAGATCTTGAGGAGGAGGTTCTGGAATGTTCTTTCTCTTTAGGCTAGCTGCTGCCACTTCTGTCTTGCTCCATGTTGGGTTCCCGAAGAGAAACCCTTTGTCCCATTGCCGGCCTCCATGGACAGAAATGCTAGAGGCTGTGAGAGCCCCTCTGTGGCTTAAGGTATTTTTGTCTCTGATGGCGCAAGATGGAACTTGGAAGGCAGAGATGTTGTGGGGTGAGCCAAAGCCTGTTGAGTTGGCTAGCCAGCCTGCGGCCTGTGGCAGCACACATGCCTGTCTATACACTACATACGTGTGCGCCTCTTCTTGACCATGCCCACCACACTGCAGAGCCGTAGGGGTCAGGATAGAGACAGCAGAGGCCTGGGGATGGCGCCAGACCCCTTTCCTCTCCCATACCTGTGCTGACTCCTTCCCCTTGGAACACTTTAATGGAGGGCTGTTTTGATGTTGGCAAGGATACGAGTTTAATTAATGAGAGGGATCAAAAGGTCAAGGGAAATCTGAGACTAATGAGAAGAGGATTGTGTATCTATCCTGTGTGGCCCATCAGAAAAGCATCCCTGGACAGGGAGGACTTCAACAGCAGGAGAGCTTGGAGTCCTTGGAGCCCAAGTGTCCTGGCCCCATCTTGTTCCGTCTTCGGGGTGAAGAGCTCCGTGTTCGCCATGAGGCACGTGTCGGGGAAATGCCATCACTCTCCTGTCCCTTCCAGGTGGTTCAGGGGGTGCTAAAAACAAAATAGGATCACAGACCTTCCTAACAGGCCTCCCTCCTCTTGACACAAGGGTGTCCACGAGGCATCCCCAAGGCACTGGGTGTGTGGTGCTAGAGTACTCTAAACCACAGTGCTCTGCACGGGCCACCCCAGTACCTAGGGGTTCTCCCCTGTGATATGATAGGCATCCGCTATCCACTAAGCCCCTACTACCTCCCAGTCCTCTGCTGGGGTGGGGGGTGGGGGTGGGCAGGAGAACCGCTAACACAAGGAAGACCCCTGCTCCTGAAAACACATGTTCCTCAGAACAGTGTCCCACGGATGAAGAGGTGGCCTCTCAGAAGGCGGCCGGCACAGGTGGAGGATGATTCTGGAAGAGGCTGAGGTGGATGGGTACTTCCTGCAGCGGGGGTCTGGCAGGCTGCGAGGAGCCTTGGCCCTGAGGAGCCAATGTTTCTGTTGGAGACTGCAGGAGACAAAGCAGAGGCAAGGACAGCTGAGGAGAGGGGCTGGGGTGTTACCACAGTGCGGTCTGGAAACCCAGCCGAGTTGGGCAGGGACTGAGACTCCCACACCAGACCTTTTTTCTGCCAGCCGCTGGCTTTTCGAGAAAGGTGGTGAGGAGGAGCAGGGCTCAAAACCAGGGCGGCTCGGCTGCAGCCAGGCTTAGCCCCGGATAAAGAGAGTGGCACAGTCTACCAGCGGGTGCCAGGGAGCAGGGCAGGGGAGGGAGGGGGCAGGGCAGGGGAGGGAGGGAGCAGGGCAGGGGAGGGAAAGATCTCCTATTCGGATTTGGGCCCTGTTGTAATTCTTGGGCCTTAAAAGCCGACTGCCAAGATCCTGTCGGTACCTGCCAGGCCCCCGTGGCAGTCCCAGCCCTGTGTCTGTCCCAGCCCCGAGGACTCTTCTGTTTGCATTGTTTCCTATACCCCACACCCAGGCCCGAGAATAAAGATAGCCAGCCCGGCCCACCCTGCCCGCCCGCCCGCCCGCCCTCCCCACCCGGTGACTCAGGCTGGGCGCCTGGTAGCAGCCGCTCTGCTCTCTGGCCTCCTGCTCAGTTGCCCGCATCTGCTCTCGATTTGCTGCCCATGTCTCTGTGACCTCAGTGAGGGCGATTCCCCCTCCCTGGATTTAAAAGAAGTGGTACCTTTCTCCCCGCACTGTGGTATACAGATTATTATAGTGTCTGCCTGTTTCAGGGGTCTGGGAAGGAAAGCGAACTTGGACAAGGCCAGTTTAATTGCGATGTACAGCTGCCCGAGGTCCCCTGTCCACTCTGGCCAGTCCTGAGCCAAACCAGTTTTCCATGGCCAAGCTGGGCCTGGTTTCCACACGGGTTCCTGTCAGGAAGTTCCTCCGCCCAGTGTGTGCTGTTAAATAGGATCCTTTTCATTCCTTTTCCTCTTATAAACCTTCCTTTCAGGTCATCCTGAAGGGAGAGTGGGGATGTGGCAGGGGGTAGGGGGCGGCAGTAGGCTCCAGTGCCAAAAGGGAAACGCCTGGCAGCAGCCTGGCCTGGGTCACATACCCAGGGCCCTAGTCCAAAGACAATGCCTAGAGCCCACTTCCTCCTTGCAGTGTGCCAGCTGACCCCCCAAATCATCTAGTCCCACCTCCCTTCTCTTCCCCACAGGAGGGGTAGGGCAATGGGAAGAACGGCCCATCCTAAAAATACTCCCCACCTTCCTCCATCCTAAAAATACTTCTACCACACACTCCCCACAGAGAACGGATTCTCTCTTCCCCTCTCCGAGTCCTGTTTGCCTGTCCCAGGCCCCCACGCTGATGGGTCCCACTCCTTTCCAGCTGTGCCCTTGGCTCAGATCCACAAGGATAGACCAGCCTTCCTCCTCCTCCTCTTCCCTCTGCTGCCTGCCTCTGATCCTGGACCAGCAAGTTGACCCCACCCACCCCCACGAGCTACACTGTATATTCATTGTGGCTTGGATTGTTCACTGCTGCAAGTCTCACAATGCCGGGCACCCGGGGCATGTGCTGAGTGATTGGCAAGGCGTGTCCCTTTCTGCCTCTGTGATGACTTTGATGTCCCCGGAAGTTACCTGGGCTCCTCTCTCGGCTACACAGGAGCACTGATGCCTCTGGTGAGTTGCTTCAGCTCCTCAAACCTCTGCTGCCTTGCCTGGGCAATAGCCTCATGGTTCCAGGATCCTCCAGGCTGCATCGAAAGCCCTGCCTTCCGTTTCTGTTGCAGATGCTGGGTCTAATTCTCTCCTCATTTCCAGCCACTCAGACACAGGACTTGTTGGCGGCGTCCTTTCTGAGAGGGGGGCTTTATTCAAACATATCAGCAAGCCTGTAATAAATCTATGAAAGAGCAGGGACACTTGTTGGCTTCATATAACCCCTCACAAAAGGTTGAATTTAAAATCTCATTGCGAACCTGGGATGAACTTGTAGCTGGGGAGGTGGGTGACAGGGTCTCCCCCCAGCCCCGTTTGAAGTTTTATTTCATTTTTATTTCCACATATGATTGTACATACTTATGGGATATGGTGTCATGCTTTCAACCCACGCGCACCCTGGGGAATGATCATATCAGATATTTAGAATGTCCATCTTCAGCATTTATCATTTTTATGGGGAAACACTGCAAACCATCTCTTCTAGTGGTTTTGGTGTGCACGGAATAACACTGTTGACTCTAATCAGGCTGTGTAGAGCCCTCTTTCTGACCTGTGCCTTTGGTACAGTGGTACCCTACATCCTGCCCATGTCAAGGTCAGGGCCGAGCCTTCCTTGGGACCCCACTCTCGGTGTGTTAACAGCCTTGCACTTTGCACTCTAGTAGAAGCAGAGTTCAAGATGATGTACAAATATAGCACAGAGAGAGCCTGGTCCCCAACAGCAGAGGATACAGTAAATGGCTGGCTTCCTGGTACTTCCATTGACCACAGGCAGGGAGCCCTCTCAGCTTCTGGCTGTGTGCCTCTTGTCTACAGGCTGCTCTCCGTCTGGAGAAGACGGGGCAGGGAGGTGACAGGTCTTGGGCACCACTGTAGGGAGTGCCCTCAAGCTGATGGCATCCTGCTGGTGTTGTGATGAGAACCAGTGGAGGGAAGACCAGGTCCAGAGGCAGTGGCAGGTCCTGGGCCCTGCACAAGGCTGGGAGGTGAGGCGCCATGGATGGGAAGGGCATTTTCTGATGGAGGCAGGGCAGAGTTGGGCAAGGCCAGAGGAGTGCCACCCACAGAGACACCTGGACAGGGCCCAGCCGGCTGACAATGGAACAGTGTGGGCACAGATCTAGTCAGGCAACAGAAATGCATGGGCCCTGTCTCCAACTTCTGTGGATATTCTAAATGAAATACACATATCCAAAGCTTAAAAGCTAAGATGTGCATATAAGAGAAGCAACATTTGTCTTTCTGAGTCTGGGATACCTCACTCATGATGATTGTTTCTATTTTTCCATTCATTTACCTTCCAGTTTCATAATTTCATTTTACTTAACAGCCAAATGATATTCTGTAGTATAAATGTACCACATTTTCATTACCCATCAGTTGATGGAGAACTAGGCTGTTGTTTCCAAGTTCTGGCTATTATGATTAGAGCAGCAATGAACGTGGAGGAGCAGGGATCTCTGTAGTAGGATGCAGATTGCTTTGGGTATATCCCAGAGCGGTACAGCTGACTTTGATGGTAGATGTAGTCTCACCTTTTTGAGGAACCTCCATACTGATTCCATAGTGGCTGTACCAGTTTGCACTCCCACTCACAATGGATGAGTGTTCCCTTTCTCCCACATCCTGGCCAGTATGTGCCGTCATTTGTTTTATTAATCTTGGCCATTCTAACTGGCGTAAACTGAAATCTCAAAGTCATTTTAAGCTGAATTTCCCTGATGGCTAAAGACATTGAAGCCTTTATTAAGTGTTCCATCTTTTTGAAAACTCTCTATTTAGTTCTAGACCCCATTTTAAAAATTGGATTATTTGTTTTCTATATGTCCAGATTATTTTTCAGTTCTTGTATATACTAGATGTTAACACTCTGTCAGATGTATGATCAGTGAAGTTTTTTCCCCAATTCTATAGGCTGCCTTTTTGTTCAAATGATGGTGACCTTTGCTGTACAAAAGTCATTTAGCTTTATGAGGTCCCCTTTATTTCGGTCTTCATGCCTGTGCTACTGGGGTCCTGTTCAGAAAGTCCTCTCCTATGCCTACGAGTTCAAGCCTATTACCTACTTTCTCTTCTATGGGATTCAGGGTATCTAGTCGTGAGACCATTGATCCATCTGGAGTTGAGTTTTGTACAGGGTGATATATATGGTTCTATTATCATTTCTGGTCCAGTTTGACCAGCACCATTTGTTGAAGATGCTATTTTTTCTTCTGTGTGTATTTCTTACTTATTTGTGAAGAACTGGGTATCCATAGGTATGTGGAGGTATGTCTTGCTCTTCGGTTCTATTCCATTGCTAAATCTAAATGTTAATCTCCTCTTTATAAAAGCAACACACTTTACAGCTACGTCTGTCTGAATTGGACCAAATCCCTGGGTGCCAAACTAAGTTAGTACAGAAAACGAACCATTACAGCCTTAGATGCACAAACAGAAGCAGGATGACCAGGCCATCTGTCGGCCCCTCGCCAGTTCAGCCCCTGTGAATGGACATTCAAGGCAAAACCTAATCCAGAGAGGCTGGCTACTCTTTCCAAGTCACACATGCTGGCAAAGGACTGAGCTAAGTTTTAACTGACCCCTGACTTTCAGTGGCTGCTCCTTCCTGTGCCCCACAAGGCTAAAGGAGGAGGACCCTTCTTCATCAAACATGTGACCATGCCCAGATACCAACCTGCATCCTCACCCTTTATCCTCCTAGAAACAAGAGGGAGACTTTAAACTGACTCTGTCTCTGAGTAGAATGAAGAATTTGAGGCCTCCGTAAGGTTGCCAACTCCCTGGATTGATACCCAGGTCCTGCCAGCACCTATAATTTTATTGCTCCTTCATTTATGCTTGGATTCACATGCTTGATGCTATAACCTACACATATGTTCTCCACATACTCACCTCTTGCTCCACATTAAATACGATGTGTGGAGTCAATTTTTCTTTAGATCAAAGCCCAGTTATGATTATTGGTCTTGTTTGTAACATATCACCCCCACTCCCCAAGAGCTTGTCAGCACCCCCCATCAGTAGATATGTGCATGGGATGTGCTATTGTCTCAAAACAAAGCAACACAAGCAAATAACAACACAAATCTCAAACCAGTCAAACAACAGCATAAGCCAAGTGGGGGACCAGAGTATGCAGAGTTAAACAGGGTTTTGAGGGCCCTTTATCGAGGGCTTGCTTGGGGCTAGGGTATGTATTTCAGACAGGGATCTGAAATTGAGGTGTTCGTTCAGTTCTTAGTAGCCAATGGAGCCTACAATATGGCTAACAGATGCTGCTTCAGATTCACAGCCCTGGTGTCCATGTACAGCTGGCCAGGCCCAGTGATGAGCTTGTGAACTCACTTTAAGGAGTGAGGGTGAGAGAAGCCTGTCCCTCAGTGCAAGGCTAAGTATTACTTCCTACAGTTGGAGCCCAGTGAGGCCCCTTCCAAGCTGAAGGATGTGTCTGGTACTTGGATAAGGGGACTGTGTGGGGAGAATGTCACTTAAAGCTGAAGTACTAGATGTCACCGCAGGGTCCACTCTGTCCTCGTCTGCTCCCCTTCACAGAGAGGCTGGCCATGACTCTGGCCCAGCTTCTCTCTCTGACCTCACACGTGGCCAGTGATAGGTCTGGTGGGCCCAGGTCTAAATGTTTCCAGGGCCTTCCAAGGAGACAAGCCATTGATCTGGTAAACTCCCATGTTTGAGTCTAAGGTCAGCCCAGAAATCCTGGACTAATTAGAGTGCAGAGCATCCTGTTCAGATCTCTCCTGCTGAGAATTCCCGGTGGCCAGAAGGCAGGCTGGGTAGCCTCAAGTCTGGCTGCTCGAAGGCTGGGTTGGGTGGAGCGCAGAAAGACGCCCTCCAGTTACCTCACCTAGCACCACCTACACGTGGATAGAGCCCATCCTGATTCTCCTTCCCAAGGGATTGGGCCACCTCCTCATCTTCCTGCCTTGGTTGCTCAAATTTCCAAGATAATTACCCAACCTTGTGTTGACATTGACTCGGAAAGACCTACTTAAGAGGGCTGGATTGCCAGAGATCAATATCACAACTGTCACCGTCCTTATTAAGGAACTCTTAGGATCGTGCCACATGCTAGAGACCAGGGAATTTCTCAGAGGTACACAATCCCTCAGGATCGCTGCTGTGAAGGTCCGCACCTTCCTCTGCACAAGCTCCAGAGGGTCAAAGGATAATACTGAGTCTGGTAACCCCGCAGCCTCAGAGAGCACCTATGGACCCCATCCAGTCCCAGCTTCGGCCATCCATGTTTCAGCCATGTTGTCACCCTGCCTTTCTCTCTTCTGTCCCACCTTATCCCTGCTTTCCTTTGCTCGCCCTTCTCCGTATTTCAGTCCCACTCACCTCCCTCCATCCCTTCCTCCCATTCCCATCACATTCTGTCTTCTCACCTTGTGTCCCTCTTTGTCCTCTGGGGAGCGGACAGGGGGCTGCCCCCTCACAGCTAAGGTGGAAAGGGGCCAGAGCTGAGCAATAGCTGACAGCAGTTCTTTGGCGTCAAGTGGGGCAGGTAGTAATTCAAGGGTGTGGGCTTCAAAAAGCCCGCTGCGCTTCATGGAACCAGAGTCGTGTGATCCGTAAAGGCCAAGAAGGTGGGTGGTATGGATAAGAAGGTAGAAACCGTCTTGGGTGATCCACTGTCACAGCTTGCCCTAAATGGAGATTCGTGGGACGTGGGACTTTCGATGTACAAGCCAGGAGAGTCCTGGGAACGTGGAGGCTTGATCTCACCTCTAAATTTGACAAGTGAGAAGGAGGGGAGGTTGCTTAAAGGTAAAGGTAGCATCTTTAGAGCCCTTTCTGGGGCACTGTTAGGCAGAGACCCCAATTTCTCCCACCTCTTATTGCCTGGGCATACTCTCAATAAAGAGCTGAGCAGGATAGACAGCAAGGCCCTGGGGGAAGAGGTGTGGTCTCTGGGTCAGCACAAGCATCCTGGTGACAGTGGGGAGAACATGATGTACTTTCTACAGTCTTCCTCTGAGCCTCCACACCTTCAACTGTGAAAGGTCCCATCCCACCCCGACACCACCAGACCACCTGATGTTTGCAGTCAGCATCCTCAGTTCTCCCAACCATCACTGCTCTTCTCTGTGGAGATCCTGGGATGGCTCAGGCCTTGACCTGCTGCAGGGACCTTAATTCTTGCAGCCTCATCCTTGGTGTAGGAAAATGGGAGTGAAGCTCACCATCCCTTAGTATCCACGTGAGGACTAAAATAATAAAGACAAAAGAGCTAGATCACTACCTGGCACATAGTAGGTGCTCAAGAAACTATGATTCTGTGCTCTCCCAAGTCCCGGGGGGTCAAGTCCCTTCCGAGGTGTCCCTCACATCTCAAACTCCAAATGCAATAATGCTGAGGTTTTGTCTTCTGCAGTTTAAGTGACCCAGGGTCAGCCACTGTCCTGAAATATTAAATAGAAACATCCAGAAATGAATAATTCATACATTTTCAATAACTTTTATTATAGCACATTGTTATAGTTATTCTCTTGTGTTGGTATTTTTGCTCATCTCTTACTTGACTAACTTCGAACCTGAACTCTAGTACAGGTCCATGCATACAGGAGAAACTGAGTGTGGGTGTACTTCCCACAGTCCTGGCATCCTGGGTAGGTCTGGGCCCATGTCCCGCAGGATAAAGGGAATACTGTGCTGAGGAACAAAGTGGAATGTTCCACAGTGGCTGCTTTGGAATTATCACCGTATTGAAGCATTGTTGGGCCCCAAAAGCTTCCAAAAAAATCCTTTTCGTACTGATTTACAAAGTGTTTAATTGGTAGAATTAGACTCTTGGGTTTGTTTGTTTGTTTGTTTGTTTCCTATAAAGATTTAGCTCGTGTTTAATAAATGCTCTGGTTCAGCATGTCACTTGCTTTGCCACAAGTAAGCAGATGGATGGTGTGTGTTGGACTCGGGCTTCTTGGAAGGGTAAAACCAGCACCGCACTCATTATTTCCTCAATACTTATCTCCCCAGTCCTTTCCTCCTCACTGCGGCAGTTGTGAGACTGACTGCTTCAGGGAGAACCCCTAAGTGTGCTCAGCAACTCAGTCCCCAGACGCTGGTACCAGCTAAGAAGAAGCCACAGATCCTGGACTGGAACAGCCTGTGCTCCTTCTTGAGGCAGACACAGAGAAGCCATTTTTTTAATACTCTTCTCCTGTGGGCCCCGTGCTTTTGATTAGAGGGAAGGACAGGAAGCTGAAGGATAGACACCTAGTTCCGCCAGGCTTCCTAGAGGAAGTGATTCCTGGGCAGGTCTTAAGGGATGAACAAGCATTAGGCATAGGAGTTGAGCGTCGAGCGAAGACTGCATTTTCACTGACAGGACAGAATGAGTAATGCTAAAGTCGTAAAAACTGGGTCTGCTGGTGATCAATGAAACCAGCAGAAGGCAAGCCAACAAGCAGGCAAGTCGAGCATGGGATGCTCTGGGAGCCAGAGGCTAGAGAGAGAAGGACAGGTAATGTTTGAGACACAACCTGGCAACAATGGGCAGCTAATTGGGCAACGAAAGCGTGGTTGGCAGCCGTGAGGATGACTGTCCCCAGCTGTGGCCCCTCTGTCCTTTCTTTGAAGAGCTGGAGTGTTTGTGTATTCCTGACCCCCCCCCTTCTGCCTTCCCCTCTGGCAAAGACTCCCCAGAAGAGCTAAAAATTCATTCCATCCAACCCAAATCAGAGGGCGGATGAGCTGGCACTTTATTACCCTGGGATAAAACGGTCTTGTGGGAGAGGATGGGCTCCATACTAATTGCATCTGTGGTCACCTCCACCCACCCGGCCAGAGCTGGGCCTGAGCTGCCTCCGTTCAGAAGGCATCATGCAACACAGCTCTCCTCCCGGCTTTCGCTGTGTTCATCACCCTAGAAAAATCTCCCACCAGCTTCTGAATGAACTAGAGCCCAAGCAAGAAGGATTCTCCTGTATTTTGTCTTTAGGGAAAAGGCCTGGGCTGGGAGGTGTGTCTAGGGATGCAGCAGGTGACTCCATGTGGTGCTGGGCCAGGGCTCTTCTGGGAGCTGCAGTAGCCTTACCCCCCTCCCTACCCTACCCCACCTCACCCCCATCACCCAACACTTTTCTTGATTCCTGGGTTCCTAGATGGTTGTGTGGGGTTAAGCATACCATCTATTTAGAATTGACCATCAGGAAGGCTGAAAGGGGGCTTGTCACTCTGGCTTTAAAAACACTATTTTTGGAAAGGGTGTGGAGTGAGTAAATAAATCATGAAAAGCACTGGCTATAATAGCAGCCCTCCCCGGGTCCTCCTCTCCCTTCCGCTCTACGTGTGAGAATATTTGGAACTTCTCACATGGGCATGCTTGAGTGTGATAGTGAGTTTTGTGTCTTAGGTGTGAGTTTGTAGGTGTCCTATGTGTGAACAAATGCAACACATTGTTCACGTACTGCTCTGCTCCATTTTTCTGTTTCTGTAGCAAACTACCTGAGTCTGGGTGCTTTATAGAAAAGAGGTTTATTTAGTTCACAGTTCTGGAGCCTCAAGAGCATAGTGCTAGCATTTAATAAGATCTGGTCAGTCCCTCTGACTGTATCACAATATGGCATCACAGTGGGGGCATGATGAGTCAGTAATCCAGAGAGACTTGGGGACAGGCTCCCATTCTTTCTTTGGAATAACCCACTGTCATAGGATTGAGCTGGAGTCTCTCAAGAGCTACATTAATTCCTTCAGAGAACTGCACCCCAGGTGACCTAGCCTAATCACCTCACTCTAGGCTCTACCTCAAAGGTGCCAACACTTCAGTGCCGCCACACTGGAGATCAGGGTCCCATCATGTGGGCACTTAGCAAGCTCACTCAAGCTGCAGCAATGCTTAGAGGGCACTGGACAAGCAAGCGTGTGTGTTTGCATGGACAGGGCCTCTCTAGAGCACGCCTTCTGTTCACACACAGTAAGCTGGCAAGTCCAGTGAGAATGTCCCCCAGCTCCCCCAGCATGATGGGACATAGAATATACACAAAGCACAGCTGTCTTTGCTGTCTTATCAGAGAGAGGCAAGATTAAACACACCAAAATGTAGATGAGACAGTAAATGGGCAAGTAAAGTAACCCTGCCTCCTGGAATTGAATTAACTAGTGTGTATTATTAGCTATTGCTGTGTAACAAAAAGCCCCTAAACCTTAGCTGCCTAAAACAACAGTAAGTATTTAAAGTCAAGAATTCAGTTCAGCCGTAGAGTTCTGGCTTAGGACTCCCATAAGTTTGGAATCTAGAGATTGAGGCTACAGTCATACTGAGTTTGCAGACCCTGCCGGGACAGAGGACCCATTGTCATGAGGGCCCAGTCATTCATGTAGCTGGCCAGTTGACGCTTGTTGACAGCAAAAAGCCCCAGTTCTTCTCCATTGTGTTACTTAAGGATCACCAGGCATGGTAGCAGGCTCCTCCACATAGAGTTCCAAGAAAAAGCTTAATAGCAGTGGCAGTTCTCTCATAAGCCAGCTGTGGAAGTTCCCCTCCATCACTTCCCCAGGGATGCACAGCCCATTCCAGATATACTATGTGAGGAACCCACACAAGGCAGAAACATCAGGAGGTAAAAATCGTTGGGCACCACAGAGGCTGACTGCCCTGACACAGAGTCATCTGGAGAAGAGGAGAGAGTATCAGGAAAGAAGAGAGGCTGACTCACTCTGGACCTTGCTGAGATCAAGAGGAATAGAAGGGAGTGAGGGGGAGATGTTCAGTGGTTAAGAGCACTTGATGCTCTTGCAGAGGACAGAGATTCAGTTCCCAGCATGGCAGCTCACAACCATCAATAACTCCGGCTCCAGGTGATCTGATGCCCTCTTCTGGCCTCTGTGGGCACTGCACCCATGTGGTGCTAATACATACATGCAGGCAAACACTCATATACATTTAAAAAAAAGAAATATTTTTAAGATAGATGAGGGACTGAAAAATGTAACTGAATCTAAGAAACAGACACCCAGAGCAAAATGGACATGGTGTGCTTGAGGGCAGTTCAGAGACCTACTTTTTAAAAAGACAGAAATAACATTGAAACTAGATTTGGAATAACTGAGATAATGGAATGCCTTCAAGAGACTCGTGGGAAATAGCTGGGAAGTGACAGCATCCAGCAGAGTCACTTCAACTTAAGATCTCAGTGGCCACATCTGCAAAGCAGGGGCAATGAGTAGTCATGTCCCACAGGTGGGTCACTGGAGGATAGTAAGGCTTTCATCATTCCAGTGGTCATCAGAAGCCAAGTCCTCCTGGGACCTTGAAGATCAGATGGCGTTAAAACAGTCTCATGGCTCCTCTCTCACCTGGGTCCTTTATAGCTACATAATAAATGCATGACCAAAAAAATAAGCCCTCGAGTCTGGAATCCTATGCTGGCAGCAGCCAGATCTGCATGGCCCACCTATCCTCCGGTCACAGGGCTGTTGCTTGGGTAGCAGACAGGTGCTGGGAAGAGCATGGCCACCCTAATATCCTGTTAGGTTGGGTCCTATAGGGCATGCTCATGGCCAGAGCCTGGTTTCACCACAGATATTTACTCTGGTACCTGCAGGTAGCCAGTCATTCACTAGAGTTAACAGAAAAGACAAGACAGAGCCAACCAACAAAGATCAGATACTGCAAAAATAAAACAGAACCAAACCTCTACAGATGACTTACTGGCTTGTGAAAGGAGAATCTACATTATTCAACAATTTTAATAGCAATGGCTTTAAAATCCAAATACTACCAAAGAGCATATATGGGACAATGGATTTGCTTTTTGACCCCTTGCTGGAAGCTCTCCAGCCCCCCTAAACACCACTAGCAGTCAGATGAAGCCATGCATTCACAAGCCAGTATCTGTGTGTGCGCTTCTTTCTCTTGCTGAATGTGGCAGTGAGCCATGGGCTGAATATCATGCTTTATAGTTAGAGAAAAATCCAAGGTA